CATACAAATAACCGATAATTGAATACCAGGCTTGATTTTGTGACACTGATGTCATTGTTTGCTTTTTTTTTGATGACATTAACGCCTATAAATTAACCATTTAATTATGTTTTGTTATTAGAAAGATAATATTCCATTTTTATATTTTCCTGAAAAATATAAAACAAATTCAGAAATCAATAAATCAATTATTTCTTCAATTTTTTGGCAATGTTTTAATGAGAATTGCTCGATTTTAGCTAATTTTAACTTCGATAAAGTCATATTTTTAGTTAAATTTTAACATCTTAATGTTGCTAATTAAATTATTAAAATATTTATTGTTGACAAATATCACCCACTTACAGTTTCATCAAAAGAGTTGCAAAATCTATCAGATAATTGGAGATAAAACCTAGAATATATCATTGCATAAATTGCAATTAAAACTATCGCAATTCATAGTTTCAATTTATTTAAAAGTTAAACACATTAATTTAATATTTAAACAAGAAATTTCGAAATAACACTTGGTTGAAATTTAAATTAGTAACAAAAGTATTAAAAGAATAAATGAATGAATCGTAATTATCAATTAGTCGTAACTAATTAACTCATGATAATGAAAGGAATATGTAGATGACAAATAACATGGCATCTTTAATGATAATAAAATGAAATCATTCTTCTTTTTTTTTTTTTTTTTGTTTCTTACATAAATGGAATGATACTTCAATTATTTCAGTTATAATTAAATTAAAATTTTGCACAAATATTGTCAAATGTCATTGATCAAGCCAGACCAATGAATGGTACCAATAAAAACTAGATGATTTGAAATTTTAGAAAGAAAAAAAAATTGAAAGATTTTTCTCGACGAGAATTGGTATTGGTTGGTATAAAGCAGCTAAGTTAACATCATTTTGAGATGGCTTTCTTTTTATCATCAAAATTTGAATTTTTATTTCATATTAATGTAAATGTGAATATAAATATAAATTATAAATGTAAATATAAATATAAATTATCAACATAAATATAAGTATGAATATAAATATAAATAGAAATAGAAACATAAATATAAATATAAAAACAAATATAAATATGATTACAAATATTAAAAAGATATGTACTGTATCATAAAAATAATTAATTGATAGTAATTATATCCGGGAAAATAGTGTTACCTAATGATAAAGATTTTTTTTTATCGAATAATTAATTGATAATGATTATATATT